TGCCTAAACTGGAAAGTGATCTGTACCGGTACACAAGGATGCACCACAGGAACAAACACTGGAAGTCCGAGGTGGTTTCGTGGTACTGTCTGCATTGTACATGTTGCGTGCTCCCACTTCATTTTCACAGGCATGAAATCTATCCTTAACCACAGATAACAAATGGAACACCTGAAAAGCAGGATCCGAAATCACCCTGCGATGACAGGCCTGCTACGATGAATACTTCAGACACTGCTACTGCAGAGCAAGCACACTCCTGCCAGAGTGTGTGACATTACTGTCATCAGTCCTTGTTTTTCAGGCCTGGCCTCAACCCAGCCCCAGAGCGTACCTGTAATAAACAGCATGGGGAGCAGCCTCACCACCCTGCAGCCCGTCCAGTTCTCCCAGCAACTGCACCCATCCTACCAGCAGCCCCTCATGCAGCAGGTCCAGAGCCACATCAACCAGAGCCCCTTCATGGCTACCATGGCCCAGATACAGAATCCTCATGGTAAGAATGTCAGCTCATTTGCTCAAGAAAACAAAAAATTAAAGACTCTGTTCTGGAGCATTTGCTGGGTCCTCAGGCTTGCAGTGCTCTATTTTCCTCTCCTATTATTGTTGCTCTAATTATGAAATGGTTCTCCTATTGCATTCACCTCCCTGTCCCTCCACTCCCCCCCTGTTTCGGAGTCAGACAGCAGGTCCACATGCATGAGGAGAACAACTCAGCCAAACTAGTCTCATGCAAAGCTCCAGCATCCACATGATCTTGTTTTCTTTCATGCACAGCTCTCTATGGCCCCAAGTCCGAAGTGGCCCAATACACACATACAGGCCTCCTACCACAAACCATGGTGATAACAGATACAGCCAATCTCAGCGCCCTGACTAACCTGACACCAACTAAACAGGTAACAGCCTCTGCACACGCGTTTGTTCCCCCACCTTGGAACTGCACCAGTATGCAGGCAGCTCGTTGCTTGTCAAAGAGTTTTTTAGGTGTGCGGTCTACACCATCCCAGCAGGATGATCTTTCTTATCTCCTTGCCTTGCTGGTACCAGTTGCAATACTGGAGCACTAGGGCAAGCTCTTCACTGCATCAAGGAGGATTTAATCTCCTTGGAAACAGCACCTGCTCACTCCGCTCTCGTGCCTGTTGGAAGGCAGATAGAAACCAGGCACTGTTAACTTTTTCTCTAGGCATTCACATCTGACTCGGAGACCCACACAGAGTCTGGGATGCACACACCAGTCTCACAGGCACCAACGATACATTTACAGAATCAAGACACAACCATCCAGCACCTTCAGCCAGGCCCTCGCCTCACTTCAAGCCCTGCTGGTAAGAGCAGCAACCACTACTATCTTAAACCACGTATTGCCTAGTTTCTCTTCCCAACACCGTAAAACCAGACAGAAAACAGTAACTGGGACTCACGATTCTCTAAAAGACCTGTGTCTTGGGGGGTTTGAAAATCTGGTACAAGGAAAAGATTCAGAGCACAGCCTGTATAAGGCCAGACTGTGGGAAACAGGGCCCTTCTTTACAATCTAGAAAGGAAAATAACCTTAAAAATACGGACAAAATCAAAGTCCGTGCATATCCAGTCCTGTAGGCAGTTTTCAGGGCTGAAAAGCCCAGGAGTCCCTCATGAAGAGACTCTGGTTGGATCTTCCCAGTTCTAAGAGAAGAACTAGGACACTAACAATCAGCTAGAACCCTCAAAACTGAACTCTCTGAAGGCTGTCCCTCTCAATGTTTTCAGGCTAGCTATAGGCTTAAGCTAGGTATATGGAGGCACACCAAACAGAAAAAGAAGATATGTCCCTATGACAGGAGTGTTCAGTCATGCTGGAAAGGCGAGTGTGAGCACACATAAAGGGACTGCAGTGAGAATTTGTATTTAACTTCTGCTTGTGCCTTTGACAGTGTCCTCCAGCAGCCTGGTGCTGTACCAAAGCTCTGACTCCACCAACAGCCACAGTCAGCTGCTGCCATCCACTCACAATGTCATCGAGACCTTCATCTCCACGCAGATGGCATCCTCCACTCAGTAATCAAGACAACTAACTCAAGGCTGACTGCCATGACCAACCTGTCAGGTGCGACTCCAAGTGTGTTTGCCATCACTGTCACCACTGCCTTCCGCGGGAAGGAAAGGCTGCTGCGCTCCGCCGACCTCCAGCCCCTGCTGCCTCACACAAATCCCTTACTGAGCTGCCTCCATGAGAGAACATGTCTCAGGCTCAAGACAGAAGCCATGGAGAGATGATGCTGGCACTGCTAAAATCCACTGCCTCCAAGAAAACCAAGCAAACCCAAACCACACGACCCAGCCTAGAACTCCCAGACGTCCTTTTGCTGCTGCCCAAGAAGCAATCCCACGAAGATAAGGACCCAAATGCAATATGGCAAAAATGCCAGGGCGTGGATGGGACTTCCATTCTGCTCAGCCTTCATCAGGCTGGGCTTGTACAAACCTGCCAACACCAGACTAAGCCATGCAGGGAAGAGCAAAGCTGAGCTGCCAAAGAAGGGACACCATCTTTGAAACACTGACCTCCTCTGCTGTAAAGATGCACCAAAGGCAACTATGAGAAATTACAGTATCTTGGAGGCAAGAGTGAGAGAACCTGGTTTCTGACTGCCACAAAAATCACCAAGGAAGATATTCAGGAATGGCTTGGCACAGACCTGTCAGCATGGGATCACTACTACGAGGTACAAACCCTTCAATTAACTACAACAGAACCAAACATTCTCAGTTAAAAATGACCTGCTCTAAAATCATGCTATCCTAGTGGAAATGGCTTGGTTATTTTTGATATAGCTCTGCTTTGTTTTAAATGCAGAAATTAAAGTTTAACAGCAGCAAGCAGATTCCAGTTCTCTGCATTACCCATGTGGATTCTCATCTCGTGCATCTTGTTGAGCGAGCCAGGGGATGGCACTCTCCACAGGTCCCCCACGCTCACCCCCATGCTCCACAGCGCAGCGGTTCCCTCAGTTGTTCTCTATAAAGATGTCAGCTTGGATTCATTTTACAGGACATGGTTCATTCTTAGCTTCCCTGTAGGCCAGATACTGTAGCTCTTGATATGCAAATATTTACCCTGGGGTCTAAGAGTCTTACTTGCACTAAGTGTAGGTTTTTAGCTCTAAGGATCTACTTACATAATTCCTCTTCTAATTATTCCTCTCTCCTCTGTTTACTCTCGACCTTCACATCACTGATATGTCACTAGCCAGACATGAAAAAAGCCCTAATTAACATGTTTTTGCCATTGTGACCAAAACAGAGCTATTCATTAAACTGTGAAATGTATGAAAATCCTTGAGACTAGAAAGTGCTCAAGACTCTTAAAAGGTTAAGATACAAGGGAGAATTAAAAAAGAAAAAGCCTAACATTGAACTCTTCAGTTATCACATCTGGAAATTACAAAATTGCAGATGTCCATTACAGTTTGTATTGACATGATCTTCCCCTAGACACTATCAACCATCAGAGACTAATTTCAGTAACTAGATTCTCTGAGGAATTTTATCCTAGAATTGTTTCCTAATCTCCCATGCGTATCATTTGCAAATACACATAACTTCCAGTTAGCATAAGAACAATTACAATAAAACAATTTAAAAGATAATTGTTAGACCACTACGCACTTGAAGCCCCAGGTGCTAGCTTCAGTATACTGAAGTTTTAACTGGCCATAAAACAAGTAATCTCTGCTGGCGCGTTCAGTTAAATTACAAGCCAATTTTCTACTTAGCCCTTCCATTTTTGGATGCCAACTGTGTTTTCTTGATTAAAAAATAGCAAGGGTCTTACAGCAGGAAAGAAAACATATTGGGTTTTCCCACGCTCAAAGTGCAACAGTTCACTATTTTGATTTCTCTGATCTGGCCTTCTGGTCTCCTGAATAGGGCAAATGAGTTAGAGCTACTGAAACCCAACAATCTTGAAAACAGAAGAAGAGTATTTTTCCAATAACAGGTCCTTTCCTGAAAAACTGGAGCAGAAGTATAAACAGACCACGAGCCATACTGAAAACTACCAAACCCCACTGTATTTCAGAGTCATAATCAACCAAAATACAGACTGAAACACAGTGACTTTCAAATTAGACAGAAGTCCTCCCTGTAGCAATTCCATGGCACTGATCACCAAGCAACTAAAGAGCCATCTTCAGCCTTCTTTATCTCTGCTGCGGGAGCCATCTGAATACAGCAAGAAAGCCACTGTTGTACAAAACCTGCCAAATTAAGTAAGACTAATAGGGTAGTAGAATTTAATAACAACAAATACCACAAAAGAACTACACACAAAAAGAAATTTCACAGGACATAACTTGAACAGAACTACCTATTTATAACAACTCTGACATAAGCTCACTGCACACTTCGTTTGTATGCAGGGACCCTGGAGAGGTGCAGATTACAGAGGGATAAGTAACGTGGCAGGTTTCAACAACAGATTGTTGTGATGATCACAGAAGAAAAAAAAAGGTGTGGGGGGGGGGGGCCGCTACCTGACAGGATGCTTTTGATAAATGAGTCTCCCCCAGGCTGGAGCTATTCTTAGTAAGCATCTAGGAGGAGGCACAGAGAAAAAGGAGTTGATCACCTGTTGCCATGTAAACCAAATTCATACGCTTTCTCCAGGACACAAGATTTGGTTTCATGATGTGAAGGAACAGACCAGGAGGGATGCAGTTATGATTACATCCCTCTGTCACGCAAGTCTATGCACAGTATTTAGTCCTTTTACGCTAGCTAGGTCTGCGTAAGCAGCAGCACAGATAACTGCTGTGCTAGGAGAACAATGTTCCCTTCCCCAAGGGACGCCAACAACATAGGAAGTCTCTTAATTAGACTCTCAGGCCGCCGAGCTTTTAGAACAGAAGCTTTGCCAATTAATTTTCCTTCATCTGCAGCAACTCTTTTTGTTAGTTGTTTTTTCAGCATCCTTCATCCATGATAAATCACCTGCCGTTCGCAGAGCAAAATCTTCATTCTCTTTTTTTCTTCTTCTTTTTCTTCTTCATGACTCCTGGCAACACTGAGCTCTCTGTATGATTGCTGTCCCGTCTCTCATGCTGTCCATTTGTGGACACCAACCGTGGCAAATCTTTGCTGATCTGGTCACTCTCTGCTGGGTCTATTGTTTTCTCTTGAATATTGTTCTCTCCCCTAATTTTCTTTTTCTTCTTGTTTTTCTGACTGTGCTCTAAGTAAGCCTGACTCTGATCCCAGCTGGAATCCTGGGACAGTGCAGGAAAAGCACTTTGCTTCAGAATGTCTGCGGCTGACACAGCAGCCTCTTGGTACCTTTGCCACTCTTGGTCACTGTCCATGTCACTGGAAAGGTAACCAAAGGGAAGGGAGTCATGTCATACTTTCGCCTTGAATTCACCCAAAGCACAAACAACAGAGTCATCTAAGATGAGAACACCTGATCAACTTCCAGTGGCTCCAAGATTCCCACACCTACAGCTACCATTTAACCAGTTTGGAGGCCAAGATGTTCTTTACGCATACTCTGAGGGGAAAGAAATCTCCACAAACATTTCTAGTTCCCCAGTGCTAAAAAAAAACCAAAACCCCAAGAAAATCTGCTCCAGTCAAATATAGGAGTGATAGATACATATTTCTCAAGCTCTCCAGCTTCCTATTCCCTTGCAAGAGCCCCAGCTGCCACTGCAAAGTGGGATGCAACAGTACTTCAGGATCAGAGCAGCTGAGACCACCTCACCTGGAGCTAGACGGCTGTCTCTGCCTTGCTGCAGGGCAAGGCTCCGATTTCCCACAGTCTCCTGGGACAGAGGAAGAGAAGAGGCGAAAACCTGAAATACGTAAAATGGAATTTTAGCCATGATATAAAACAAAGGCGACAGCAATCAACAGCGGTCTCCTTGGGAAGCCTCACTGCTGTTAATGCACTGCTACAGTGCTTGACAGCAATTATGTGGGGCTAACAATCCGAGAGGAGTTAGGGCAGAGAGATCATAACATTGAAGGAAAAGCCTTCACTGACGGTAACAGAAATTCTTCTATGGCAAATGCTTATTAGTCAGTTGGGCGTACAGCTGGCACTGGGCAGGACCCCCTGCACTTGTCATTATTGAACTAACGATGTCACAGAATAGCCACAACAGCCGTGACTAGAACTCACCGTCGTCTCCAGAGTCAGACTCTTGCACAGCAGTTTGTGAAGGTCCTGACGAGTCCTTCAAGACAGTGATGAAACTGAACAGAAAACCCTAGTCAGATCTTAGAGAGCTTTGTGCAAACTGAGCTACAGCTGGGTATTTCTAGGAAACAAAACTATAGGGAGCTGTTATACAACTTCTTACTTTTTTCTTAGTGAAGCCGACTCACCTCCCCACTTTCAGACTGGACCACATCTTCTCTCCTTAGCAACGCGCGCCACAAGAACAACTTATGAGCAGCGTTTCTAAAGCCAACTCTAAATACCAATAATTCTAGATCTCAGGGCCATATTTACACAGTAAAAAAAGGCAGCAGCAGCCCAGCCAGAGGCATACTGCCAGCACAACCCTGAATCAGGTATTGGCTTAGGTTGTAAGAACAAATGAAAGACTCTTGAGCCAGCCTTTAAAGGATGAAAGTGCTAAGGCACCCAAATTCTACTTTTTCCTCACCACAACACATCCACCACAGAGGCAAACGGAGACAGGCAGCGCTGCACAGGGTGCCTTCACCAGAGAGGCACAGCACATGGGCCAGGTTAGTTCACAGAATATTGGAAGTCTGCATTAAATACAGGAATAATGGAGACCAGAAGAGAAACAACTTCCCCTCCATATCCAATGTGCACTCAGCTCTTTAATTTCCTACTCTCAGCACACAAAAGCATTGGTGTACCTTACCCACAGATAAAGCTTTTTTAGTACTGCTTGCCAATACCTGTCCAGCATTGCTCCCAGTTTCTTTGCGACGTGTGCTCTGAACTCTGGTGTCGTCTGCAGCTCATTTCCATCCTCAGCGTGACCGTTCACCGCACGCCTGTTTGAAATAAGAATAATGGTTATCTCTTTCAAGGCCAATAACATCTGGTGCTCTCACCCAAACGAGAGATAAGGGACTGTAAAATCTCCTACCCTCTAGTAATCAATTCATACTTGGTAGGGAATTCTGCTAAGAAAGACCAAAATAGCTTGGTAGTAACAGTTCAGCTCCCAAGAGAGTGCTAATATTTAGCCAGCTCCATCATAGTTAATCATTAGATGTTTTTTCTCATTGAAATAGCCTACAAACGCAAATAAGTGACATCAGCACATCTCTTGCACCTAGTAACTGTGTATGCTGCCACAATCCATGCAAAACCTGTCCCAGGAAAGATGGTTTTATTAAGTTGCCTGGCTGCCAACCTTCAATACAGAGCCTACAGAAACGCTGCAAATTTAGATATGACAGCATCATCTCCATCGCAAGGCTCCTAACTCAGGCGTTGCTTTCCAGCTGACGAGTGCTTCGCTTTGCAGTCGCAACATTTTTTGAAGAAAAAGAAGTTTTGTTACATGTAGCCGTATGAGTACCTTCGTACGACACTTGCAGAGTTGGGAGATTCCTGACACTTAGAACTAACGTAACTGACAGCAGTAATATGTTTTCAACTTCTATATTCCCCTGCTGCTAGAGGGATAAGAAATGTACTTAAAAAAAGCTATTTGTTTTTTCAGATGTAAGCATCATTTCAGATTATGGTTGAACCAGCTCCTAAAACAGCACAGGCCCTTCCAGTAGGAAGCATCACACAGCATTAACTGGGAGTAGCACAACTACAATATATATTAATTTTTTCTTCAGTGGAACGTAACTCTGAAAGCGGAAGCAAAATACCTTAGGCTGGGCTGAGCAGGCTGTAACTGATCCTTTCTAAAGCCACCTGAGAAAGGAAGAAGTAAAGGTGAGTTTAAAAGACCTGTGACCAGGACCTCTTTAACCCTCCCTTCTGGCACCTGTGATTTCATAGCGCAAAGAATCACGCCTGAAACACGATCCACAGCCACCTTTGGGGGAAAACAGTTACATGGGGAGAGGGAAACTTCTTCCCAGACTGTTTTCAGTGGTGCCCAGTGACAGGACAAGGGGCAATGGGCACAAACTGAAGCAGAGGAAGCTCCATCTGAACACGAGGAAGAACTTCTTCCCTCTGAGGGTAACGGAGCTCTGGCCCAGGCTGCCCAGGGAGGCTGTGGAGTCTCCTTCTCTGGAGATATTCCAGCCCCGCCTGGACAAGGTCCTGTGCAGCCTGCTCTGGGTGACCCTGCTTGGGCAGGGGGTTGGGCTGGGTGACCCACAGAGGTCCCT